AAGAAACTTAGTTTTACCTCCTCTCTTTCTCTTCCGTTGTTCCTCCGGTGCCATCCTAGATCTCGGGACGAGATCCTCTCATAGTGGTGGAGTGTTGTAACGCCCCGTGACCGTTGTGCCAGGTGTCATCCAGTTATTCGCTATTGTTGCCTTGTCATTGCTTGCGTATCGTGCATTGCGTATCATGTCATCATGTGCATTTCATTTGCATACGTGTTCGTCTCATGCATCCAAGCATTTTCCCCGTTGTCCGTTTTGCATTCCGGCGCTCCGTTCTCCTCTGGTGGTCATTTCTACCTTCTTCTCGTGTGTGGGGATTAAACATTTCCGGATTTGACCGAGACTTGCCAAGCGGCCTTGGTTTACTACCGGTAGACCGCCTGTCAAGTTTCGTGCCATTTGGACTTCGTTTGATATTGCAACGGTTAACCGAGGGATCGAAAAGGCCTCATGTGTGTTGCAACCCAACACCCTTCCAAAGTGGCCCAAAACTCACCTAAACCCTCTCCACCATTTAGAGCGTTCGATCACGATCGCGTGGCCGAAAACCGCACCTCATTTGGACTCTCCTAGCTCCCTCTACCTATATATATGTGCTCCCCTCCGAATTTTTCACGGATGAAACCCTAGCCATCTTCCTCCTCGCGCCTGGACAAAACTCCTCCACCGCCGGACATGTCCGCGCCGCCCTCCCCGGCGAATCGCAGCGCGACACCTCACTCCCGCCGGACCTCCTCTCTCCTCCGCCGCCGCGGGCCCGCGCGGCCCAGATCCGGCTCGCGGGGCCCGAACCGCCGCCGATCCCGTGCCTGAGCGTGCCTCGCCTCCCGCGCTGTCGAGCGCCGCCCGAGCCGCCCCGGCTCCGCCTCCACGCCGGCGCCGCCCTCGCCGCACCTCTCGCCGATGGGCTCGGCCTCCGCCCGATCCGGCAGGCCGCCACCACCGTCCGCGCCCGCCGGGGACGCCGCCCCTCGCCGCGGCCATGCCACCGCGACCGCGCCGCCCCGGCAGCTCCCTCCTCTCCTTCCTCCGGCGCCCCGAGCTCGACCCCAACTCCGACGAACAACGTCTCCGTCGATCCTCGGTTTCCGTGCTCGATCTGGATCCAGATCCAGATCCACCTCGCGGTTGACTTTTTCCCCCGAACCCTAATTATTTTGCATACTTTGCCGCATCGTAACTCCTCATCTGTAGCTCTGATTCATGCATATAGCATATCAAAATGTTCGCCTCAGAGAGTACATCATTTCATTCCATTTTATCATTTTCATTTGAGTTCATCTTGATGCCCGAAATGCTGTTGGAAGAGTGCTACTTGAGATAATCGTCAGATCTGCTACTCCATTTAGATATTTGTCATTTTTGCCATGATTAATGTGTGCATGTTATGCCCATGAGCTCTACATATGTTTTGTTAAGGGTTTACCATCTTTCCAGAAGTGCAACCCATGTATTTTTGTGATGTGTGTGGTGACTAGCACAAGCTTGCAAAGTGAGGCACTTGGTAATGCTGATTTCAGGGACTTAACATCTCCACTAAGTCCTTGACCTGTTTATCTCATTTGGCCATATGGTCATGTTGTTTCCTAGTGATCTGTGCCTCTTTTGAGAATGATCAGTAAGGATGTTTTGTTAATCTTGTAGTGCTCTATCCATCCATGTCTTTGTTTGCAATTATGGAGCAGCCTAGCTTGAGTCAATCGAGCTCTACTTTTGCTATTTCGTGAATCTGGGCAGATTGTCTACTTGTTAGCGATTTTGCCGATGATGTTGTAGTTGATCCGTGCATGCTATGGTATTGTTCTTGCCATGTATACCTTGCATTTTAAGTATTCTTGACGGGTGTATGCTTAGTTTGTCATGCCTTGCTCTGTAGTGAGTGCATCGAACTCGTAAACATGCCTACTTGATATCTGTTTCAGCATGCTCCAGTTTTCACTAAGTCTGAGAACTGATTATGTTTTTGCCATGTTCACATGCCTGCAATTGTATTTTCTGATCCCTTTTGGCTCAAGGTCACTAAGGGACTTTTGTTAAGCTCTTTGAGTATCCCCAAGCCATGCTTTACTTTTCCATGTTCAGGTCCTGCAGCATGTAGTTTTCATGCTCCGAAGAGTGCTATCTGATCTGAAATTCCAGACAAGTGTTAATTTCACTAAGTCTGAGATCTGTTTGCCATATGCATTTTTGCCATGCTTGTTTGAACCTGTTAATGGATGAATTGGCCGTAGCTCAGTGCTAGACTTTTGTTAAGCATCATGAATGGATTCCAACCATGTATTTTGTTGCCATGTTTGGGTGCTGTAGCATGTTCATCTCATTGTATTTAGATGGCTATGTTGTAGATCGCAGACCGGTGTCATATTTGAATTGCTTGCCATTTCCAAACCGTAACTCCGTTTCCGGTGACCTTTATATTATTTTCAAGCGATTTCATCTCATCTTTCCAGTGGCACACTTGGTTTTCCAAGTTGAGGCCAGGTTCATTCATTCCTTTGCAAATCATGCATATGCATCGCATACCGCATCCCGCATATCATACCTTGTTCATGTGTTGGTTGTTTACTATGTTGTGTGCTTCTTTTCCGGTGTTTGCTTCTTCGGGTTGGTTCCGGTTACGTCGCGTTTGTGAGGACCCGTTCGTCTACGTCTGTTTGTCTTCTTCATGGACTCGTTCTTCTTCCTTGCGGGATTTCAGGCAAGATGACCATACCCTCGAAATCACTTCTATCTTTGCTTGCTAGTTGCTCGCTCTTTTGCTATGCCTATGCTGCGATACCTACCACTTGCTTATCATGCCTCCCATATTGTGAACCAAGCCTCTAACCCACCTTGTCCTAGCAAACTGTTGTTTGGCTATGTTACCGCTTTGCTCAGCCCCTCTTATAGCGTTGTTAGTTGCAGGTGAAGATTGAAGTTTGTTCCTTGTTGGAACATGGAGATGTTGTTCCTTGTCGGAACATGTTACTTGTTGGGATATCACAATATATCTTATTTAATTAATGCATCTATATACTTGGTAAAGGGTGAAAGGCTTGGCCTTATGCCTGGTGTTTTGTTCCACTCTTACCGCCCTAGTTTCCGTCATATCGGTGTTATGTTCCCGGATTTTGCGTTCCTTACGCGGTTGGGCTATTATGGGAACCCCTTGACAGTTCGCCTTGAGTAAAACTCTTCCAGCAACGCCCAACATTGGTTTTACCATTTGCCACCTAGCATTTTCTTTTCCCTTGGGAGTCGCGCTCCTGAGGGTCATCATTATTTTACCCCCCCCCCCGGCCAGTGCTCCTCTGAGTGTTGGTCCAACCTGTCAGCTGTCGGTGACCACCAGGGGCAACTCTAGGCTGGCCTACCCGTACCTAGGACAATCTGAGTGTGCCCTGAGAAAGAGATATGTGCAGCTCCTATCGAGATTTGTCGGCACATTCGGGCGGTGTTGCTGGTTTAGTTTTACCCTGTCGAAATGTCTTGTAGAAACGGGATACCGAGTCTGATCGGAATGTCTCGGGAGGAGGTCTATTCCTTCGTTGACCGTGAGAGCTTGTGATGGGCTAAGTTGGGACACCCCTGCAGGGTTTTGAACTTTCGAAAGCCGTGCCCGCGGTTATGGGCAGATGGGAATTTTTTAACGTCCGGTTGTAGAAAACCTGAAGTTGACCTTAATTAAAATGTATCAACCGTGTGTGTAACCGTGATGGTCTCTTTCCGACGGAGTCCAGGAAGTGAACACGGTGTTGGAGTTATGCTTGACGTAGGTTGTTTAGGATCACTTCTTGATCATACTTTCTCGATCGTGCTTTGCCTTCTCTTCTCGCTTTCATTTGCGTATGTTAGCCACCATATATGCTAGTCGCTTGCTGCAGCTCCACCTCATACCTTTTACCTTACCCATAAGCTTAAATAGTCTTGATCGCGAGGGTGCGAGATTGCTGAGTCCCCGTGGCTCACAGATACTTCCAAAACCAGCTTGCAGATGACGCAACCAAGCTCAAGGAGGAGCTCGATGAAGATCTTGTCCTTTATGTTTTTTTCGTTCTAGTTGATCAGTAGTGGAGCCCAGTTGGGGTCGATCGGGGACCGTGTCACATTTGGGGTTCTTCTTTTATTTTGGTTCCGTAGTCGGACCTTGATTGTATCTGGATGATGTAATGCTTTATTCATGTAATTGTGTGAAGTGGCGATTGTAAGCCAACTATGTATCTTTTTCCTCTATTGTATTACATGGGTTGTGTGAAGATTACCTCACTTGCGACATTGCTTTCAATGCGGTTATGCCTCTAAGTCGTGCTTCGACACGTGGGAGATATAGCCGCATCGAGGGCGTTACATTAGGTGCAATAATAGCTACCCCGTTAAATCTGTATTTGAATAAAGTTTTAGTGAAATAATCTAATCTTTAAGTTGCATAATTTATAAGGTCTAATTATCTTAAAACGTGTGTATGACTTATTCACCGAAATGGAGGGGCTAGTTTATCATCCATGTCAACTCTTCGGTCTTTGTTGCCCCTTCAACCTAAGCTAATGAATCCAACTAATTGGCACCCCATCAATCCAAATTAAGAGAAGGTGAAGATGTATTCATTTGGATTTTATCCCAAGTAGCCAAGTAGGGAGGGAGTTGGTATGTACTGGGTCAAGTTTTGCTAAAAATGCAGTGATAGTACCCTGAAAAAAAATGCAGTGATAGCAGCGTGGTACTTACTTTTGTTTTGACCGTTGTAATTATAAACTCCCGAATGCGCTGACTAAGCTTGCTAGTACCGCTCATTACGAATTATAATCACTTGCCCACTCGGTGGCAGGGGATTACTGTACTAAATTAGCAAGTGCACATTCACGCGGTGCTCGATCGTCAAGCCAATCCATAAATCAGTTGGTCATTCTGTCGTAGGGACTTGCATATACATGTACAAATACACGACCATGCATGATTAGTTGTATGAGACCATCGATCTCCAGCTAGCATTCTCGATCATCTGTAGCTCGAGTATACTTACAATGGGGAGGGTGCAGATACGCGTGGTGATGGTAAGCGTGGCGGTGGCTGCGCTGGTACTCGTCGCCGCCATCCTGGGGTCCGTCGCCGAGCGCGCTAGTTCCAAGGCAAGGCACTCACTGAGTCGCCCTCGACCTATCTTAAATTCTTAATTCTCCAGTTTCTGTGTAGTACAAGACAATACCCATGTTTGGCTGATGGTGAGCGCGCGCGGGGGCAGTCTTTCGCAGGGTACGACGGGAGGTACTGCGTGTACCGGAGAACGGCGGCTCTCGGCTGCGGGGTCGCGGCCGCGCTGTTCCTCCTGGGCAGCCAGGCAGTGCTCGGCGCGGCCAGCGGCTGCTTCGGTCGCTGCGGCGAGGCCCGCGCGCGCCCCATTCAACGGCGCAGGCGCACCATCGTCGCCAGCATGGCCGGCATCTACTGGTACGTACGCGCGCGCAGAAGCATCCGTCGTCCGCTCGACGTGTCGCCGATCATTCGATCACAGTGTGCGTGTGTTGGTCGTCCTTTCGTCGCAGGTCGTTGACGGCGGCGATGACGGCGGTGTTTTTGTACGCTGCGTCGCGGAACGTGGGAGGGTCGAACCTGCCCAGGCGGGGCCGCTACCACTCCATGCGCGGCTGTAGAGTCTTCGATCGCGGGGTCTTCTCGTCGGCGTCCGCCACGTCCGCCTTCGCGGCCTTCGTCGGGATCACCGCCTACGTCTACCAGGAGACGGCGGATACGGATGAGTCGGAGGTAGCCAGCCCTGACGTCCCGTTGGAGCAGCGACCGCATTTCCTGCCGCAGCAGTCATACCCGGCCGTGGGATACCCTGCTGCTCCTCCTCCCCCTCCACCGTACGGCGGCTACGGAGCCAAGGCACCTGCAGGCACAGCTTGACGTTTCCTCCCTCCTCCGATCCTATCGGTGGTTTGTCGACAGCGCGCGCGCGTGATGTTTTGGATTACTGGTTTCTTGCTGTCTGTAATTCCTCCGTTTCAGTAAATAAGTCATTCACATAATTCTAGGTCGACAATTTAACTATCTAAATATGTACTATATATGACAAAAAGTATATATTTAAAAACTACATATGTGTAGAAATCTAGTAATATACTTTTCATGACATATACCACATATTTAATTCTTCAAATCAATGACCTAGAACTACGCAAATGACTTATTCACCTAGACGGAGGTAGTACTTATTAAACTATGAATTTGTATGTGTTCTTCTTTTAGTAAGACAATTGCACTTTAGTTGTTGAGATAATCGTATTGGTGCATGCTTTTTTTTTCATGAAAACACCCAAAACTTTATTCATTTAGAAATAACAGTTACAACGTTTATGAGGAAGAGTACAATTTCAATAGAAGGTTCCTCAAACCAATTGATCGTCTACCCTACAGCTGCCGCCTTCCCTAAAAGGTTAGGATTTCTTTGCCTCCTGCCGGCACTATTGTCGGTCCGCCTCGTCTCAGGTGATCTTAGGGCCTTGGGAGTAGCTGGATCCCGACCCTTGCAGGTGGGAGGACTTCATTTTTAGTTATTTCTTCAAGTTTTGTTAGGGTTTATGTCCTACTTAGGAAGACGAGACGGCAGCGGCCTACCTATGCCCTGTTCGGTGCTTCTAGCATCGCCGGTAGACGTGTGGAGCACGGCGACCTCTCAACTCTCTACTACAATAAATTTTGCCCGGCTCCGACGACGGAGGGGCGATAACAGTGGCGCGCCTTCGACTCGCTTCAGTGCTTGTAGTCGTCACTAGGGTGTCTACGGATCTTGATGTAATTTATATTATTGCTAGTGTTCATTGTACTACCATAATTGAAGATGAATAGATTGTTTTCACGCAAAAAATCTACCCAACCTAACAAGCTCATGAACAATTTTATTTGCTTTCCTATTGCAACGTTCAAACCTAGAAATAGAGAAATCGCAAGCAAAGTGATAACAATCATCGAAAATTGCCGGCGCCGCTCTTGCAGAATGACCACCGTTCTTCATAGTGTCAATGACTTCCAAATTCTCAGGATTAATAGCGAGTCGGTTGCATCCTACCCTTTGCTCAAGGGCACCGAATGTGAGCGCCAAGACATCAACCGTCAAGACTTCCGCATAACTACTGTTTGATTTTCCAATTCCACCTAGTGATTAAATTTCTATTATTATCCCTCAAAATCACCCCTGCCATACCCCTAAACAAGTCTTGATCAAAAGAAGCATCAACATTAAGCTTGAAAAAACCCACAGGGGGTGGATCCACCCCTCTTCTCATGGTAGCATTTGGAATAGGAAGCAGTAACATAGTTTGTCGTTATAGCATGAATCCTCATAGTAACATGATAAGCATCTTGAACTATCCCTTTGTGGACCAATTTACGCCTTACGCCCTTACCCCCTGCAGATACCAGGCGGTAATGGCAATCATCTCTTGAGCATTCAGAAGACCCAACATCGACAAATCCTGAACTGCAATAGAAGTAACAATTCAAGCACTGCCTCATCGGCGCGATCAACTTCATAGGCTCTATTAATAATTTCGTCCATCCCTAACCTTATCCAAACCACCCTTGTTGTATTGCACAGAAACAACAAGTACTCTGTATCTTTTGCACCAACAGAACAAGAGGGACATTGGGGCGAAACTTTTAAATGTCTATTGACAAGTGTAACATGGCATGTGAGGTATCATGCAGGCAGTTACGCTTTATTAATACTTAAAAGTAAAAAGGGATCTTCTTTTACGCCAAATTAAAAAATTAATCCTTGTTGGGCAAGATATCTTCTACACCAAATAGGATTAAGTGTGGATCGTCCCATTCTATTGGTACACTGTCGTTTCCTTCCATGTTTGTGATACCATTCCATGAAGTAAGCTGGCCGAAATGAAAGCACCCCATTCTTCGTGTAACTCCAAGCGACAAAATCTGACATGTCATGTTGAGGAAGAGGGATAGCGAGTACTCGTGGTGCATCAATTGGCATAAAGTTTGTTTGGCCAGGCCAGATCATTCATCTGAATTACTAGAAACAAGGTCAATAAAATCCGCCACATTGAAAAGTAATTGACCCCCATAGTGTTAATATTTTGTCCATTCTCTACCCGCCATATGTAACCATGTTTCAGAGTATTAACACCAGCCATAATACTTCGCCAAGTAAAAGAAGATCCCTTTTTTACTTTGAATTCAAACCATGTTTAGGGAGAGGGGGTTGCTACAAGATAGCATCCACACCTCTGTTTAAGAGCAAATAGCAAAGAGAGACGAGGCTCTGATACCAATTGAAAGATCGTGGATGTCGCCTAGAGGGGGGGTGAATAGGCGTTTTAAAATAATTACGGTTGAGGCTTGAACAAATGCGGAATAAAACTAGCAGTTAATTTGTCAAGCACAAAACCTAAAACAAATAGGCTCACCTATGTGCACCAACAACTTATGCTAAGCAAGATAAGCAACTATGAGATAGCAAGATAAATGACCAAGAACAATATGGCTATCACAAAGTAAAGTGCATAAGTAAAGTGCTCAGGTAAGAGATAACCGAGGCACGCGAAGACGACGATGTATCCCGAAGTTCACACCCTTACGGATGCTAATCTCCGTTTGGAGCGCTGTGGAGGCACAATGCTCCCCAAGAAGCCACTAGGGCCACCGTAATCTCCTCACGCCCTCGCACAATGCAAGATGCCGTGATTCCACTAAGGGACCCATGAGGGCGGTCACCGAACCCGTACAAATGGCAACCCTTGGGGGCGGTCACCGAACCCGTACACTTTGGCAACCCTTGGGGGGCGGTCACCGGTACCCGTCAAATTGCTCGGGGCAATCTCCACAACCTAATTGGATACCTCGATGCTTGCCCGGAGCTTTACACCATAATGATTGAGCTCCGAAGACCACCAACCGTTTAGGGCACCCAAGCACCCAAGAGGAACAAGCTCAAGGGTACCAAGCACCCAAGAGTAATAAGCTTCTCAACTTGTAACTTCCACGTATCACCGTGAAGAACTCAAACCGATGCACCAAATGCAATGGCAAGGGCACGCGGAGTGCCCAAGTCCTTCTCTCTCAAATCCCGCAACTAATGCTAGGGAGGAAAATGAGAGGAGGAACAAGAAGGAGAACACCAAGAACTCCAAAATCTAGATCCAAGGGGTTCCCCTCACATAGAGGAGAAAGTGATTGGTGGAAATGTGGATCTAGATCTCCTCTCTCTTTTCCCTCAAAAACTAGCAAGAATCCATGGAGGGATTGAGAGTTAGCAAGCTCGAAGAAGGTCAATAATAGGGGAAGAACATGAGCTCAAAGAATAAGGTTCATTGGGGAAGAAGACCCCCTTTTGTAGGAGGGAAAAATCCAACCGTTATGTGCTCAGCCCGCACACGAGCGGTACTACGGCTCCACGAGCGATACTACCGCTCGGGCAGAAGAAGCAGGGAAAAGGAGCAACAAAACATGAACCTTGGGGCGGTAGTACCGCATATAAGCGGTACTACCGCTCACCCCAGCGGTACTACCGCTGGAGGAGCAGAACACAGGACCAAAAGAGACAGTGCAGAGCAGAGTATGGCGGCAGTAATGCAGTAGCGGTACTGCCGCCCGACCGGAGCGGTACTACCGCTTATAGGCGGTAGGCGGAACTACAATGCCTTACTGCCGTGCAACTACTGCTAAACCCAACACAAAAAGTGCAGGACCCAAAATCGAGGCGGTAGTAGAGCGGTACTACCGCTTGACGCTACAAGCAGTACTACTGCTGCCGACCACGGTACTACCACAGGGAGAAAACCAGAACTGCCATAACTTCTTCATAAGAGCTCCGAATTGAGCAAACTCAAGCTTGTTGGATACAAGACGGCGAGTAGCATCAAAACAGCGAAGAGGCAGGGGAGGTATGCCTAACAAAAAGAGGAGTGAAACCTCCAACCGAGAAGAACCGGTAAAACCTCCAACATCGAAAACATCATAGAAGATGCATGTGAACTCCGTTTTTGATGAACTCGAGCTTGTCATCAAGATGACCATAAGCTCTAAGACTCGCAAAGAGAACCAAACAAGAACCAAGAAAGATGATGCAAGGATGCAATGGTTTGAGCTCTCAACGAACGATGCGATCAAGCTACTCATCGAGAGCCCCCCTTGATAGTACGGCAATCGATCCTATAACCCGGTCTCCCGACTACCACTATGAGACCGGTAAAATAGAAAACCTATCAAGTGCAAACCTTTGTCTTGCACATATTCCACTTGAGCTAGATGATGATGATCTTGACTTCCTCAAGTTGGACCACCTTTATTGATTGTGTTGGCTCGATGAAGACTAGTTGATTGCTCCCCCATACTCCACTATGGGTGAGCCACTCTTCGGCACATCTTCACAAGTTCATTCTCACCACAATGGACGGCAAGCTTCAAGCACTTGATCTCTTCGTGATGCTCCGGTTGAACTTGCACACCGCAAACTTGATAACGACCACCACTTGATGTCATCCTCCACGGGTTGTATAATATCTTCCTCTTGACGCTAGCCCATGGAAACATACCTAACCCCACATAGAACTCTCACGTAGACCATGGGTTAGCACACAAAGCGTAATGGACAATGCTTACCATACCATGGGATCACTTGATCCCTCAGTACATCTTATATGCTTTGTGTGTTGATCAACTTGATTCATTCTTGACTTAATCTTGATCAACCTTGAATCTTTCCAATTCTCTTCATTTGGATGATGTCTTGAAGGTAGACATGAATGATCACACAATCTTCTTCTTCAAGACATGCTTGCAATAAGCTCAACACTCACATGACCAATCTTTGGATAATTCCTTGAATAGCACCTTGGTCGACACAAAATCTCCTTGAAACCAACACATGAACTCCAAGAAAATCC